ACCCTCTTCCTTGCAAACAACACCTGGGAGGGGTCAGAATGGGGTTTTCGGAAAAGACCGACCCCACCGACCACCGACCGGTCGGTGTTTTCCACTGGTAGCCTCAAAACAGGGTTCGAAGAAAATGTGTAAAAGACCGACCATATCATGTAAAAGACCGAACATATTTGTAGCCTTAGAATATTAATAATTTGATTTTGAATGTCAATCGTTGGACTAGGCAACGTTTTTTACCGATTTTGTACCTTGCAACGAATGGCAAGCAAACAAATTGGTCATGACCGTCTCCTCTCGATTAATTGTCCTGCCTTAGGTCCTAACCTATCATTAACCAACCTATCGTTTCTACGGGAATCTATCCTAATTTTTTACTGAAATTTAACAATTTCAAAACAAAAATGATTTGTTATCGTCATAGCCTACTGAATACTGAACACGATATAATGTTACAGTACATGCGTTCTCTTATCGGGATTAAAAGTGACTTACCATTTCAGTACACCATTAGAAAGCTTTTTTTTGTCATATACTTATGTAGTTTTTACCAGTTGACGTTTAACAACTGAGAAATCAAACATAACGTTACGACGTCAACATCGACGATGTTTGTGTGTTTTTGTTATTGCGTTTCATATAAATGAAGCATGAACTTAATACAATGTTACGTGCGTTTTTTTCCAAAGTGACTAACCAGGATGAAATTGGTCTTCTAACAACTGAAACATCACTTAAAAATATGACATTACACACCACGACGATGTAACGTTTTCATCGTGATTTGAAATGATAATTATACGTTTTTAAAGGAATATTATAAAACCCCTTCGACCTGCACCTTCGACCTTCACCTTCGACTTACAGGGTGTCCAAAAAGAAAATATTATAGAAGCTATTTTTGCCGATCTCAGACCACGCAAGAGTCACTGATTTGTGGTTCACAGGTGAGATCATTAAGATCTTAAATTGTAGCAACGTTTGCAGTACTCTAGGTTTAGTTACAGGGGTGAAATAGCGTTTTCATGTTATCAAATTAAGATTCTGTTGATGTCGATCGGGCAGTCAATCGGGTAGTTTAAATGGAAGGTTCCCTTTTTAGAACTTACTTCCTGGCTTTGATTTGATTGAATCGAAGTAAAATTGGAGTAAGTAGTAATCAATTACTGTTCTATTTATTGAGTTCCAATTATAGTCTTGTTGTGTGATCAATATAAAACGGGATATGGCGTCAATAACTTGTTATTTAACTTCGAAATCTTATCCGAAAAGCAGTACTGTCAACCCCTAAAGATTTTCTCGCGGGACAGATTTTTTAGACCCAGTGCCCAAAATTCGCGGGATTTTGCGGGACATCTACTAAATTCGCGGGATTTCGCGGGACATTTAAGGGATTTGCGTGATTGCGCTAATAGGCCAACTTTTTTTCTCAAATTCGCGGGATTTCACGGGACCATTCGAGGGACAAACACCCTAATTGCAGGATAGTTAACAGGTTTAACGCCAAAAACTTGATAGAGGGACAGATTTTTTAGACAAAGTGCCCTAAATTTGCGGGATTTCGCGGGACATTCTCCTAAATTTGCAGGATGTCCCGGGACATTCAAGGATTTGCGTGATTGGGACTAATGTATAAGCGTGTAAAAGTACTTAAATCAAACTTCCAAATACTGATTAATCAAATACAATGCGCCGTTGTATTGTAACTTAAATAAACGTCAACACAATTTCACAAAATACGTATAGGAATATTATTAAACTTTATTGTAATTTTTCAAAAGCAAAAACCATGCTTCAGGTGTGAGTACCGTAATCTAACACGAAATTCAAAAATTCGGAACAATACTTTGCATTTCTGGCGTCGTGAACAACTATGAAACGCTTACCCCCATAATGTTATATATTAAAATGTACCTATTCATATACTGTAGGCATTTTCTTTCAATTGAAAGCCCATGATATAGGGGTTCGATTAATCTACATCAAATTATAGGGAATGGGGTTACTTTTCTAGATAGGGTTTGTAGAAAAAAACGGGTACCGGGTAGTAAATTCTCCATGCTGGGTTCAAACTTGGTACCCGGTCGAAAAAACCGGGTACCCAAAAAACGAAATATACGAATATACAACATAATTAGATCATTAGAAAACGTGTAAGATTTGTTTTGAATTTACAAAAATGCATGTAACTTCCTTCAAAATTGAGCTAGAAGCTTGAAATAAAAAGCATTTTAAGGCTCTTTTCGTCCTCTATCATCATGGTTATATTTCCATTCTGAGGCCCAGGAATACGTTAAAAAGGTTTAAAAAGTCCCCTAGTGTACTGAGTTGGTAATGCGTGGTGTATACATGTATATAAATAGACTATATTACTTACATTGAATAAGAATACTACTGATTTTTTATTAATGATTGTATACCTGAGCCTCAGTTTCCATTGGTAATGAAGGGGGGGGGATGCGATCGCACCCCCTCCTGGCTACGCCAATGACATTGTAAGACGATTTGAAAAACAAGACAAATCAATCTTATTCTATTTTCAATAGTTTGTTTGTTGGTACGTGAATTGTTTTGATTATGATTTAAATCTGTAAATAGCTATCGTTGCTTTAGCAGGGAGGTGACGTGTGTTAATTTACATGATTTTGATTATTAATCATAATTTAAGTTATCCCAATTTTCGGCAAAATGTCCACTGAATTGTAAATTGTTATGCCTTACAATGTCATAGGCGTAGCCAGGAGATGGTGCGATGGTGAGATAGCACACCCCCCCATAACCAATGAAAATATGGCATGGCGTAGAATAATGGAAATAACGTCATGGTCCAAATATTTCAATGGAGAGCAGTCTTCATCAAAATTTAAAATCTTAATAACTTTTTAGCAAATCATTTATTTTCTTAGGATTCAACGGATCCTTGTTACACCCAACGAAGTGTTCGTTTTGATATATAAATCAGCAAAATCCATCCATAGATCTTTCGGCCTTTTAATGAATTAATTTTCGGGATATTTTGCTAAAATCCCCCATTGGCCGCCATTATAAACTTTGAAAAAAGTCAAATCCTCATCATTTCATATCATTCGTTAGTGATCTAAACAACTCCAATCGCTTAGGATTCAACGGTTTCTAAGAGATCAAAGCTAATACATTGTGTTGACAACCCCCGTTTCAGTATTTGCCGCATAATCTTTCGGCCTTTTAAGTTATAAATTTGTCAATATTTTGATTTTCGACCATTAATGACGTACTTGGATCTGAGATTCATTGTCCCGGGATTCATGACGCTATTTCCATTATTCTACGCCATGGCCACAGGCCTGTCAACTGTCCCGCAATTTGCGTATTTGTCACGCATTTGCTGAAGAATTTGAAGTCACGCCAGTTATTTTTGCGTGACAGAAAATGTCACGCAAATACGCATTTTACCTGGTAATTGTCAAGCAAAAATATTTCTGTAGAAAAATTTCTAAAAAAGATCGTCTACACAGCAAAAATACGAACGCCGGAAAAAAATGTACGCATTTCGTTCGGACTTTTCACGCGAATTACGTATATGTCACGCATTCCGTTTGAAATTTTTCGTACCTACCCCCCCCTGACAGCAATTTCAACTCTTTTAGTCTTTTTGCATTTTGGGACAGTCAGTACATTCTGAAATGCCATCAGAAAAAAAGTTTGTGCTAAATTTCCACTTGAATCTATTTTGTTACCTGCAATTTGTTAACTCCCATCCAACTTTATTAATGACATTTTCGAACCACAATTTTTTTCAAGAAAAATGTTAATCTGACAAGTCTCTTTTTTGTGGTGGGTGTTTGACAGTAGGTGTCTGTACCAGCATTCAGTGTCTGTAACAAATGGCAGGTGGGGACATTTTGCATGTAAATACCTTGTTCACATTTTAGAGCCTTTTTTGAATATATCTATATAACTAGACCAAATGGTTTTAGATTAAGGATAAGATTAGATTATGATATTCAGCCTGAGTCAATCTGATTTTAGCATGTGATCTTCAAATCACCTAAAGTGACCTTTTAAATACAAAGGTATTCAATTTCTATTAAGGATGGTTTTCCAAGTTCTTGTAAGGATGGTCAATTGGCCTGTTTGTTATTACTTCGTATTAAAGTCCCATCGTGTGTTAATTACAACAGAACAAAAGCTGTTAATAGTCACATGAAATATTCATGCACTCATAATATCAATTTTGCTATTAGTGAGGTGCTTTAACAGTCGTTGCATATATGGGATAACCAGATGCCTCAGCCAATTCATTTATAATAAATGTCATGCATTTTTATTTTACTTTATGATAATGATAACAATTTCATTAAGTTTTTACAATAGACAATAGGCAGCCATATATTTTGCTAATGTGACAGTTTATATAGTGTTGCACTTTCTTGTTCACTGCACAAATTAGTGTAACTGCTACAATGACTATACACTATTACATTTCCGAAAAAAACACACAGAGTCTAGTAACAAGCTACCACTATGAAGATTAAGCTCTCTTTTAAAAAGTGGAGTCGGACAAATGCAGAATGTTCCAAAAATGAAAAGGCCTTATTTTACATTTAAAACCCATGTAATGCTTAATGGTCAATGGGATATTAGGTCACAATAGTATTATCATGATTGCCTTATCCTTAAGTCTTTACCCAAGTCTGCTGACTTTTTAGTAACTTTTTAGTTCTTCAGTTCACTATTTTATTATTCTTCCGAGTCATATTGTTGTTGTTTTTTAAGATCAGGTTCTTTAGATATATATTGTGGATCGACTGTTAAGATTAAATTCAAATAGATCGTTCAGAAAATGACATGCAATTACTTTTTATTTATTTCATCAACGGATGCAAATTACAAATGCAATAACCTGTAATCTACTTACTAAAATCGTGGTCTAATAAAACTTAGATATACTAAATATATAAATGCAGTCCTAGCTCATTGCAAGTGATTATTAGTTCAATAATTACGAAGCATGCAGCGAGTAGCATGTTACAATAGGAATACACAGTAATTAGCAGATGTACAATTTATGTCCTTGCGATTTCATTTGGTGCTAGATTACCTTATGTGGATGCCTGCATCCTACGTGATATATTATCGCCATATAACATATTGTCACTTGACGAACCAGGTGGACTGACCGAGCGTCATTCAGGAGAAAACGTCAGTACAGAAACAGTTAATCAACGAATAGGACTTAAACAGATGTCGATGTACATTGTACAAGAATCACTTAGAAAAGCTCAATGAATTATAAATGGCATGAAATGGTTTATAACAATCCCGTATCCAGTTATCAGTGAGATTACTGGTTTAATTTTACTATTAGTAATAGGCAGATATTCTACTACACTTACATAACTGGATAAAAGGACCATCAAGGAAATGTGTTTTAAAAATCGGATTTTTCGGTTGTTTCTGTTCCTTCTGCTGGTGCTAGGGTACCTATGTGTAGGAGCAATGATATTTATGGAGATGGAGGGACCCAAAGAGATACAAATGAAACACGACCTCAGGGCGATGCGCAGGGACTTCCTGCTCCAGAAAACATGCATCTCAGGTACAACAGTGTTGCAAAAATTATTTTTCTCTAACAAATATTACATAAGATGATAAGATGTATAAGATAATATGATGATATGTACCTGGTATATCTATCTTTCTTTTGTGATATTGAATAGTAGGATTCGATATCAATAAACAATGTTTTTGAAGCATAGCCTTGAAGGGGGATTATAGGATACTCATTGAATGGATATAATTTTTATTTTATTCTTCAGAGGATATCATCTAATTGTTATATTTTCTTAACTATGCACTATGGGTTGATGTACATTTTTTTGATTTCAAGATGTTTTGTTTCAAAATAAGTTCATCCTTTTCAAATATAAAATTTTACTGTCATGATAAGATTATTTTCATCGATTATAAATAGTAAATATCAAATGAAATTTTTTTTATTGAATATGTATGTCTATTATATGTTCAAGCATGAGCATATTGAAATTTGAATCTGAATGATTTCGCTCTAAGTCATAGAACTTTTAAGGTCAATTAAATCAATTTTCAAGATAAACAAGATGTAACCAATAAGTATTGCACTAATTCACAGCAAATGTAACAGATAGATACTAAATATCAGATTTTTAATCAGCTGAAGAGCTAGATTTCCAGGTAATGATATTTTTATGATATATTCATTAACTATTATTGAATTAAAAAGGTAGAGGTAATAACAGGCCATCCAACTGTCCCGCAATTTGCGTATTTGTCACACATTTCCTGAGTAAATTGGAGTCACGCCTGTTTTTTTGCGTGACAGAATATGTCACACCAATACACATTTTTTTCTTATTAATACTCTAGTAGCTCATATGCTGGTTGAGTATGCACTTCTATGTCCAGAGATTTTCTCTTCAGAAATCATCTATGTGAAGGTCATTGATCAATTTTGGCTTGGTAACATATTTGCCACTGAAGGCGAAATAGGTCAAATGGCCACGCCCTTTTTTACGCAAATACTCCCCCCCCCCATTTTTGCATCTCTGGAACCGTTGGACATAGAAGGTTGTGTGACCACTCAAAATGTCCGGAATGGCCACATTATAGGGGGTCAATAATACATATGTATTTAAAAAAGTCAATGGTTCTCAAGATATTTGCCAAAAACTGATTTTAGAATGAAAACTCCACTATTTTCTCCTTTGATCCTGTCCCTGGCTCCGATTTCGTTACTCGGCTGGGAAAAAAGGTTTGTTGGCATCATTTTGTGCCAGACACTCTCTAGAATAAATTCATCTTGGGTGGAATAAAAATGTGTGTTAAACGAATTCGCTATGGGCAGTTAAAGAGGCGCCATCTATTCATTTTCAAACAAGGGGTAGGGGTATAAAATAATTTTTTAACACATTTTAATAGTAAAATGACATTGAAATACTAATAAAGTCTTATCAAAAACATTATTTACAATCAGTATGAATTTTCTTGTGTGGATTAGGGTGAAAATAAGGGCATATCTTGAAATTCACTACAGGGGCGCCACCTATTTCTGTACGTGTAATAACTTATTTTAGATTCGTTAAGGTACCAAATGTACTGAAAAAATTAATTCTGAAGGACCTATACATGTTCATACCACATACTTAAAATTAGATCAATAGCTTATGTACCGGCGGAGAAAAAATTTATTGAAATTTAAAATTGTGGTATCATGCAGGATAGGGCCGGGTGACCATATCTCACATTATTAACTTCCAAAATATGGAGCATATGCATCTCAAATGTACTCAAAATGTTGTATGTACTCTTGCTTTGTCATAATATTACTAATAAGAAGTAGAAAAAAAATGATTGTACATTTTAGAAATTATTAATTCTCATTTTGGCTTCTGACGTCCCAGGGGTGACCATATCTCACCTTTATAACTTCCAAAATATGGAGCATATGTTTCTCAAATGTGGTCAAAATGGTGTATGTACTCTTGCTTTGTCATAATATTAGTAATAAGAAGTAAGAAAATGATTGTTCATTTAAAAAAATATTAATTCTCATTTTGGCTTCTGACGTCCCAGGGGTGACCATATGTCACCTTAATAACTTCCAAAATATGGAGCATATGTTTCTCAAATGTGCTCAAAATGGTGTATGTACTCTTGCTTTGTCATAATATTAGTAATAAGAAGTAGAAAAATGATTGTACATTTTAGAAATAATTAATTCTCATTTTGGCTTCTGACTTCCCAGGGGTGACCATATGTCACCTTAATAACTTCCAAAATATGGAGCATATGTATCTCAAATAAACTCAAAATGGTGTACGAGGCCCGATCAGAAAGTAAGTAACCAACTGCTCTCATTTTTTCATACATTATTCAATCACATTGAAATTTTCACAGATGATGCAGAAAATATGAACCTATTTTAATAAGATCAATGACAATGGGTTAGCCTCAATTACATTGTTATGTGTGTTGCTAAGGTGACGATTATTTTGGGTAGGCGGGGCACCCTTTTGAATGCGGGTTTGAAAAATAATTTATAGAGTTTTTTTTATATTGTATACCTCCATATGACCTTACATTTTCATGCAAGACTGCATAATATGTTTTATGTGATTATCACAATGGTAACTACATTCCAATGTCTCATTTATGAGTCATCGACACAAAGAAGTCAAGGACATATGTGTCATAATGATGGTCGCAGTTCAGTCACAGTTTCAGTCAAGTCAAATGTGTTTGAAAGGGGATTTTCCTGGCTTGCACCCCTAAGAGCTCACATTACCGAAGATGCAGTAGATGAAGCCTTCTCCATGGCTACACAACTTCTTCAGGCTCCCTAGTCCCCAGACTTGGCCCCATGCAACTAATACATAACCCTCTTTCCAAATGCATAGATGTTGTTACATGGAATCCATTTTTGACAGCAATGAAGCCGTCATTAAAGCTTTCAATGGCAGTTTGCATTCATTGAATGGTGACCTGATGCACGTCTTTAAGGACAGAGTGAAACGTTGCCTTAACTGCATTGACTTTGGTAGCGATTATTTTGGGAGAACTAGGAATTTAAATGTAGTCATACATGTAAATTTGATATATTTGGGGGTATAACAACATGTAGAAAAACTCTACAAAGTATCTTCAAACGCCACTTACAAAAGAGTGCCCCGCCTACCCAAAACAATTGTCACCATAGCAACAGCCATAACAATGAAATTGATGCAAGCCTATTTCCTTTGATCTTGTTTAATAGGTCAATATTTTCTACATCATCTGTGAAACTTTCAATGTGATTGATGGAAAAATAAGAGCACTTGGTTACTTACTTTCTGATCGGGCCTCGTATGTACTCTTGCTTTGTCATAATATTATACTAATAAGATGTAGGAATATGATTATACATTTAAAAAATTTTAATTTTCAACTCAACAACCAAAAAGTTTGTTTCCTTCGCTGATCTCACTAGATAGAGGCTGCGGATTCAGTCTTAAATGATGCAGGATAGATGAAAACTGTTGTGCGTAACATGCTAAAATCAGTTTTTGGCAAATATCTTGAGAACCATTGACTTTTTTAAATACATATGTATTATTGACCCCCTATAATGTGGCCATTCCGGACATTTTGAGTGGTCACACAACCTTCTATGTCTAACGGTTCCGGAGATACAAAAAATGGGGGGGGGAGTATTCGCATAAAAAAGGGCGTGGCCATTTGACCTATTTCGCCTTCAGTGGCAAATATGTTACCAAGCCAAAATTGATCAATGACCTTCACATAGATGATTTCTGAAGAGAAAATCTCTGGACATAGAAGTGCATACTCAACCAGCATGAGCTACTAGAGTATAATGTCAAGCTGAGAGAAAACGAACATAATTCGTTCGGAATTTCAATGCAAATTTCATATACGGTATGTCACGCTTTGTTCCGAATTTTCTTGTTCCCCCCTCTGAATTATGATGTTTTGTTATTGGTATAACATTTGATTAATTTCTTGATTTTGTTGATTCCATGGTTATTTCTATCATTCCTAAACAAGTTACATTTATAATTAATGCATTAATGACTGTAAACTAATTAATTACTGATGCATATACATTGGTTGATCTCAATTGCCATTCGATGTTGACAATACAACTTTATTTCATTCTATTTTCTAAGTAAATGATGATTCTTCATGATTTACAGGGGTTTTAATGTTCCACTTTGGGCTCTTTGTTCTCTCTCATATCACAACAAACACAACACTGCACTCAGTACAAACATCCCCTGCACTGATGATGTAATCTAATAGCACCCAATTTAAGAATTATTTTGCACCCAGTTAAGTTCCATCAGCACCAAGTTTTTGAAATTCAGGAGAAATCGATTTATTCTTCATGATCAATGCATTTATCTGCCAAAAAAGGTAAAATTTGAATTCAGAGACAGAAATCCTAGAGAGGAATATATATCTGTTGTTGAGAAAACATCATCAGGTCAGAAAAACATCATAAGGTCATGAAAGACATCATTAGGTCAGAAAAACATCATAAGGTCAGAAAGACATCATTAGGTCAGAAAAACATCATTAGGTCATGAAATTATATCTATTGTAGGTCTTAAAAGTCATGAAGCAATGAAAATAACTAAACCCATTGACCACATCAGTGAAATGAATCTTATTTGATCTGAACAATAGAACTAACTAATCTACCTATTACTGTTAAAGAAGTGGGTTTACTCAAAGGGACATTTATTTTGATCTGAAATGTTTTGTATTCATAATGATCTGTAGGTTCCAATAAGAAGAGACAATGGTATGAATCTTATTTTCTGTGTGACATATTGTTACAGTCTCCAACTTTTTTGTGGACAATTTTCACACTCGATATTTGGCATTCGGTGTTTGATGGTCCCAGTCAGCATCTGTAACAAATGGCAGGTGGTGACATTTTGCATGTTAATCCCTTGTTATTTTATTGAATTTGTTGGAGCCAGTTTACTTGCCTAACAATGTCATGAAAACGTACAATGATTTGAATTAGATTTATATCTGTTTCTATGTGCTTGTATGTTTGTAACTGTGTCATAGAGCATTGTGACATTAGAGAAACAAAGTATTGAATAATCTTTCTTTTTATCCTTGCTGTTAATTTCTTCACATTTAAACAATATCTCCGTTTTCTCACATGCACTTCTACGTGTTTAAGCAATGACTTGACAACATTATTTATGTTAACCATGAAATATTAAAAATTTAAAAAAATTTAAAACTAACAATTAAATTAGAAGATTTGTTTATTGGTTTTTTGGAAGACAATATCTTCCCAGAAATAGCAAACTACTGTATCCCTTTAAAGAAGAAAGTATTATGAAAATGTCAACCAGCCATGTATTGCTGTATGCATAGCTTCAGGAAGAGATTTTTCTGTCTCTGGGACCATGTATGGATCATAATAAATATCAGGTACATTTACTATTGTCACATCTATCACATTCTCTACAAGTCCTTGTGGCTACTCCATGTCTCAGCTTGTGTTACACACATCTGATGCTACATAAGCATGTATCACCTTAATATGCAAATAGTGGAAAAACAACATTAATTTATTGATATCCTTGTAATTTATTGATATCCATATAATTTATTTAGCCTCCAATATTGTAGAGTAGTTTTCAAATCAATCTTGTACTAAATTATACTTTGTCAATATTGTTAAATAATGTCAAGAATTTGGGGTTACTAAAATCTCATGAAAACAATTATTAGTTGCAAATCATTGATATCAATGTTATGGATGCCATGCATTGTGACCAAATGTCATTCACTTAAAAATGAAAGTTGTTACAATATGTTACCGCTTCCTGGAGGTGACATAAAAAGTGACATAAAGGTAACATAAAAAGTGTGATTGAATGGTCAGTTTTGATTCTAAATAAGGTTTTCTTATTTTTGAACATAATTCCCAGGTCAGATTAATCATAAAATGCCTGGCTAATGGTTTCATAAAACCTAATTCCACCAGTGTCATTGGAGAATGGATATAAACTGACTTAAATGGCTTTGTTTTTATGTGTAGCTGATGTCCCCTCAGCTTACCCTGGTTTTATTGGTTAATTGAACTGTACTCTAACTTTGAGCAATCATTTAGAAGTTTGGTGGTGTTCAACCATCCAATCACTGGGCGCTGCAGTCAGAAACTTTCAAGATAGTAGATAATCATCCTCAAGGTTTGGAATTCAGATTCTGATTGGCTCATTGAGTCCAGATGTTTATTTGCTGTATTAAGAGTGAGATAGGGTGAATTGGTCATGCAAAGGGTAATACCCCCTCAGCTTGGAGTAGCGTGTTGATCTGGGGATGTCTCATTTAGAACTAATAACTTCTCAACCCCATCCTTTGTTGCTTGGATACACACATTTATCTTCATATTCATTGCAATTGATTATATTCTACCACTTAACAAAACTGGAATCTCCTCGAATTCACTAATCTGGGATAAGCCTGTACTTATAAGTCTCTAGTATTACTTAGACCATCTGTATTATTTGTGTTACCCTATTATTACATCACAATTAGACTAGTTCCGTTATCCTGATTGATATAATGGCTCATTTTGATGGATACATTTACATGTATTATGTTTGTCGAACATGATTGGTCTTATTTACTTTGCAATGGAGATGGGATTTAGGTGTTCTGAATGATATTTAGGAACTGTGTGGGTTTAGAATGAAAAGTCAGATAATTGTGTCCTGGATTGTAACCATAGTAACCAATTCCTAGAATTGTAGTTGTTTTGATTCATTCCAAGCCAAGGTTTCTATTGTGATATATTCATGTACACATGTTAAGTTTTCTTATCTTATGAGCCTAGCAAGTAATTGTAAATATGTTATTGTATAAACTTGTTATTGTAAGTTGTACCTAATATACCCAATAATTATTAAAGTATACTTTGTACATAAAAATATTGGCTGAGACTTGGAAAATTTGCATTTAATGTCTCTCAAAATTGAAACATCTGATTGGGTTTGGAGGCGAAGTCTCGCGAGTTGCTCGGATATAACCAAGCAAAAGCCATTGAAATCTTGGAGAATACTCTTGTAAAAGAGCGTATGCTAATAACGGTTTCCTGAAATACATTTTTAACTGAAAATTTTAGAACTATCACTTTTGCTTACTTATATACAGTTAAAACTTTTATGATTTTTATAGTATAGACAATATATTGATATTTGTGAAATGCCCAATATTCCAAATATTTGACCAACAGTGTATATGCCTGAGCAGAAGTACACAGTCAACTACACAGCTCCAAGATTTAGGCAAATGTACAATGTATAGAAATGTAAGAGTCCTCTCAAACTGAGCCATTCCTTGGAACTGTGCATTGGCCTGTATATGTAATTTGATACCATGCCAACAGCATGTAAAGATGCATGTATCATTAGACGAACAATATCTTACTAAACAATACTAGACAAATAATATAACATGATATATGTTGCAATTAGCAACCACTTGTTGCATTGTATACTACTGTATATACATAATATATAGATGCAGGTGTGATGATGAACTCAGGTTGCACATGGTTCTTTGATTTATATAAGAATTCAGGTGAATTTCATAATAGATAATGTCGAAGTTGGAGATTATAAATATATCACCACTTACCCCTTAGGGTGGTGACATCAAAATTGTATTCTAGTTCCAAATAGGTAATTAACACTAACTAAAAAAGTGGTGAACGCAATAGTCTCCAACTTTTAGTGGACTGTGTTCGGTGTTTGGCAGTTAGCGTTTGTCATTTGTAACAAATGGCAGGTAGTGAGTGACATTTTGCATGTTGATGCCTTGTTTATTTGTGTTTTGGAAAAATGTTGAAAAAATAGCTTCTGATAACATTAACAGAATTTAAAAGCTTTCATAGTATGTGATTTAAATGAAAAAGTAAGAATGTTTTCCAAACATATATCCTATATAAGAAAATGTATGCTTTGAATAAAAGAATTCAAAATAACATTGGTACGCTGTATGTAAAACACTTGTAAAACTACAAGTAATTTCCGTTGTTGCAATTATCTTAATCTGTGGTGTCTATGAAGAGGCATTGATGTTACAATTATATGAGCTAGTAATCATCTAACAGAATATTTTATTGGCAGGCTCTTGTTGCCTGGATGACTTGATAAACAACTTCCCACACAGAGCAATCTCATAAGATAGACATTAGAGTCATTTTCGTACATGATACAACATTTCAAAGGGTAGCAAGAGCAACATTTGTTGATCAAAGAAAAACTGATTTATGGTATTCATCATTCATTGTGATCTAATGTAGACATTTAAATAGAAAGATTGCACAGGCAGTATCCATTCCACAATTATCCTGTGAGTTGATGAAGTGAAGGTAGTCCAATCACCACTGAGCACTCAGCTTGAATAGTAGAAGAGCACATATATATGTACTGTACCATTACACAGTGTACTGTACCATAGCATACTGTACCATTATGCAGTATACTGTGGCCTGACACAGTGTACTGTACCATAGCATACTGTACCATTATGCAGTATACATGTACTGTGGCCTGACACAGTGTACTGTACCATAGCATACTGTACCATTACACAGTGTACTGTACCATAGCATACTGTACTATTACACAGTGTACTGTACCATAGCATGCTGTACTGTGACACAGTATACTCTACCATAGCACACTGAACCATTACATAGTGTACTGTACCATAGCATACTGTACCATTACACAGTGTACTGTACCATAGCATACTGTACTATTACACAGTATACTGTGCGATAGAATGCTGTACTGTGACACAGTGTACTGTACCATAGCATACTGTACTGTGATACAGTATACTCTTCCATAGCACACTGAACCATTACATAGTGTTCTGTACCATAGCACACTGTACCATTACATAGTATACTCTACCATAGCATACTGTACCGTGACACAGTGTATTGTACCATAGCACACCATACCATTACAGAGTGTACTGTACCATAGCATACTGTACCATGACAATGTGTACTGTACCATAGCATACTGTAACATAACACTGTGTACTGTACCATAGCATACTGTACTATTACACAGTGTTATGTACCATAGCATAATGTACCATGACACAGTATACTATAGCATAGCATACTGTACCATTACACAGTATATTGTACTATTAAGCATACTGTACCATAACAGAGTGTTCTATACTATAGCACAGTATACTGTATCGTAATTCTATATACTGTACTGTATCATAACACAGTGCACTTTATCAATGCGGAATATACTGTACCATAATACAGTGAAACATCCCATAATTATTGTAGAATGTACCTATGCTGATATCATCATACACCAATTGTACAGTATATGTACCATGTCAATGTTAACCATAATGTTGATTGTACTTTGTATAATGTATTTTGTACTTTACAGGATTTTATATCCAATACCAAACTCAATTCGTTCTGCTTTTTGATGTTTCAATGTTATGTTTCCTTTTCCAGATGCTGAGTTAGAAAATTTCATAGTTGAGGTCATTGAAGCCAATAATCGCGGAGTGAGTGCTGTGGCCAATGTCACTAAGGATCCCAACTGGAGCTTCGGCCAGTCTCTCTTCTTCGCTTGCACCATTCTCACCACTATAGGTAGGTATATCATAATTTCCTGTTATGCAATGAATTAAGGATTATAGAGACTCACAAATAGGGTCAGTGGACATAATGATTATGTCACACATACTTTTAAATAAGTGCTGTACCGGTAATGCCTTGGTCACATTTGCTCCAATTTTCACTATGATGATGTGATAGATGTGATGAATGAATGAAACAATGTTAGGAGAACTTATTGAGCCAGTCTAGTTTAATGTTCGTAGGGTGAATATGGGACTTGTCCTGTACCCTAACAGGGGAAACACTCTCATAGATCCTAAAAGATCCTCACAGGTGAAAGACCCTCAAGGGCAAAAGATCCTTACAGGTGAAAGACCCTCAAGGGCAAAAGATCCTTACAGGTGAAAGACCCTCAAGGGTGAAAGATCCTTACAGGTGAAAGACCCTCAAGGGCAAAAGATCCTCACAGGTGGAAGACCCTCAAGGGTGAAAGATCCTTACAGGTGAAAGACCTTCAAGGGCAAAAGATCCTCACAGGTGAAAGACCCTCAAGGGTGAAAGATCCTTACAGGTGAAAGACCTTCAAGGGCAAAAGATCCTCACAGGTGAAAGACCCTCAAGGGTGAAAGATCCTTACAGGTGAAAGACCCTCAAGGGCAAAAGATCCTTACAGGTGAAAGACCCTCAAGGGCAAAACACTCTCACTTGTAAAAGGGATTAAGGGGGTGTATCTCATACTGTTAAACCAATGAATTCCTTTACGTCATATGTAATACCATGATGAATCAAGGTGCGTGTATCTGGTTGTGTGATTGCATGATTTTTTTATTGTGGCATCACATAGCTACATCAAACGTTCATCAGACCTTAGCACAGGATTTCATTATGTGATTTCATTAACTATTAAATAGAATTCAAGATGGAAATTACTTCATTTCTTGCATCCTGAAACTTCCCCATGACCTTATCATAACATTAGCTTATAGTTTACCATTTTCCATACTCATACATAATCTGACCATTGTTTACAAAAGCAGATACATCATTATGATAAACTGCTCATAATAACTTATCGTCAAAGATGATTGATGAAGTTGAAATTTTCTTGAAAACCTTCCCACACCATTCTGTGAGCAGCTGTTCTATATTCTCATTGCATATTGTATGTGACTACATAATATGTATGAAAGCTTGTTTAGAAATTGGAAGAACTGTGAAGTAGGAAAATATAAAATGAATAACATGAAATTAATCAATATCTTTTAAGATGGATACTGTAAACTTTGTAAGGATTTCGCTTACTTCTTTCTTGCTTAAATTCGTGAATTTGTGAATTTAAACTTTGCATATCCATAATTCTGCAATTTGTATCAATTGACAAAATTATGAAATTCTTGAGAACATATCAAACAAAAGAAAAAAAATATAGCATTCGGATTCCTAAAATTATGTGAATATTACATGTTCTACAGTAATATTGCCATACGAGGGAGTTGAAGAGAAAAATAACTTTATCAGAAATCATAAGGGATCATATTTGATCATCACATTAATGAAACTCAATGAACCATATCGATGAGCAAAATCCAAAGCAGCTCTATGACGCAGTTTGCCAAATATAAAAAATGAGTAAAACCAATTGTTCAAAAGCTGACCAAAGAAAATGTTTCTAAAATGCCTAATTCGAAAATAATGCCAATGCAGTGGATCATCTACACTGGATGGCATTAGAACATCATACAATTCACTACTTATAAATATTTCATTCAATGAAGTAAGCCATAAGGGTTCAAGAAAAATGATATTTGAATGTCCCAGCTTGGTAAATCTAACCTCTTTGAAAAGAACTTTACCAGTCACCTAATCATCTCAATTAGGTTTCAGATGAATAAGGCAATGAGATTTCCTCAGGACATATAAATCCACACCACTTTGTAATGGAATCAAAATTTGGTTATAGAGCTAGAAATTGAGTTGTTTTATTCATGGATAGTATCAGTTTTGCAATGAACTGAATTTTAAGTAATGTGATCATTTATTTATGATGTCACCATGACCTTGTCAAGAATCAAATAATTTCAATAAATCAAACTAGTTGATCAAATTGTCCTCCATCAATGCTGTTAACTATTAACCATGAAACAATAATTGCTTTTTTCAATTTATTTCTTCGTCAATGTGATGTAATAAATGAAATGTTAAGCCACATTGGGATTCTGTTCATTCAACAAATATGAGAGCGCTAGATTGAGAAACAACAATTCTTTAATATTGCTTGTTTGATTGAGTTACCTAATTTTGATAGTCTTCAACCAAACACAATTATACCACAACATATCACACTATAGTTTGGTTCTTTAGTAGAGTACCACAACCACAGGACCACAACATACAGCTTTTCTGTCTGGTGTACCACTTCCAAATGTTTTCATTTTGCTTCTTTAAAAAGAACTGAACATCTTCAATACTAGACTTTGGGATACCCTTTATGATATATTTTTCAGGATGTGCATCTGGAATATAATCATATTAATGGAACTACAGCTTTACAGCAATATAGTACATGTACCTGTACATTTTCTATATGTTTTAGACTAGACTGTATTAATTGGAAGATATATATATCTGTATTAAACCTGGAAAATTGATTTTGAGTCTTAACAAATTGAATCAATATTTATATCCTTTAGTTATTATATCTCTGCCATCCTGAGTAATAAAATATGTAAGATTCAATAATAAAAGTGATGATTTTAAGAACAGATCAAGAAAAAGAAACACAATACCACAGATCGTAGACTATAGAAAAGGCTGTGCTCAGATGTATTAATGTATCAAAGCAACATAAACTGCATACCAAAAGATTTAAGGATTTAAGCCCTGAACTCGGAATGACTATTCCTTGAAGGTGTTGCTTTCCAAATTTTGCATGAGATGAGCATCATGTAGTGTTAATTTTAGGAAACAACGCCATGTCTCTTGAAGTATACAAAATCACTAAAAGAACATATTTTCAATGAAACTTTCAATTTCAATCTTGGCAAGTCAACTTGTTACCTTGACAACCACACAAGGAATGACCTTGGATGCGGTGATTGGTACACTGTATATAATGCACTGCAGTTATATGAAACACTGTGTTCGGATTGGACACATCTTGCCCAGCTATGTCTGAATTATTTTTAAAATGTCAAGTTTTCATTACAAGTACATGAGTGAGGCAAGTATTTTCTATACAACACTTACAAGTATACGAGATCAAGCTGAACCTCACATTGAATGATGCATACTGAATGCATTTATAATTTGAGAATAAATATTATATTTGTTTCTCAAATTAACATATTTCTGATTGGGTCTGCTTCTTTAACATTATAAAATAATTAGAAGGATGAATTATGAGATCATCTTGTCCTTTCCCATCCTTATGTCGGTTGTTGATGAGATTATTTTCATAACATTTTTTATTTTCTGCAGAGATATATCCTGAGTGTATTGAATATATTCATCCTTGTCAACTCAGTTAATTAAAAAGTGCTTTGTAGTTAAGAATGTTTGCTATATTATTTAAATGATACATGTATGAATGCATGAATATGATATTACAGTGGTTTTCCCAAGATTCTCATTTCTACGATTAAGATCAGAATTACATGATTAATGCAAGAGGGTGCAAATAGATTGTCAGGTGGGTGCAAATGGATTTTAAGTGGGGGTGAATGGATATTAAGTTGGTGCAAATGGATTTTAAGTGTGTACAAATGGATTTTTAGGCAGGTGCAAGCCTCTTTAAGTTTACAAAATCTAAAGTGGGTGTAATGCCCACTTGCTTCAGTGCTTGGAAGGAGATCGCTGCATCATATATTAATTGTACTATCTAGTAGCATCCAAAATGTTATTTTGTGTTTTTCAGGTTACGGACACGTAACTCCATTATCCGAGGGTGGGAAGGTATTCTGTATCGTATATGCTGCAATTGGGATTCCGCTCACACTAATCATGTTAACAGCAATCGTTGAACGCTGCATGATTGTCACATCCAAACTCCTTGGTTGGTTGAATCAGAGACTCGGTCACAGTCATACCCAATTCCAAATAAGGCTTATACATCTCACAATCATCGCATTCACCCTCATCCTCTTCATGTTCCTGGTACCAGCAGCAATCCTCATGACCTTGGAACACGAGTGGGACTTTCTTGATGCGTTCTATTATTGTTTTATCTCCCTAACGACTATAGGATTAGGGGACTACATCCCTGGGGACCAGCTGCATCAGCAATATAGGGCACTTTATAAAGTAGCCACAACAGGTAATACTTTTTATACTTTATTTTGCTCCCATCCTTACCTGCTCATTGTCTTCCCAAGAAAAGGTTGTAAAATAGATAAACGGTTGTTATAAAGGGTAGGATTACATCAAGGCAGCCACACCCTTACCATCTCTGTACTTTTAGATGCAACAGAAGATGCTATAAGTATCAAAATGGGAGGATAATAAGAGCACTCCTTAAACTTGCCACCACAGTAATGTTAATGTTGTTGTGTTTATGATCCTCCATCCCCATCCCTGTGTTAGCCTTGTATCAACCCTCTGTGTTGTCCCCCCCCCTTTCTCTCTTTAACAAATCATAGAGATGAATTAGGAGGGGGGGGGGGGTGGCCAGAGACGATGCAAGGCTTCTTACGAATGTGATTTATTGGTGAAGTAATTTATGCTCCCTATTCTTGTTGTTTCATAATATGAAATATGCAATAAATGAAGTTGGGTTTATTGACAGGTATTTAGCAATCTAAGCATGAAGAGGAGGGAAAACCCCATGATTCAATTGATGACATACGATTTCCTCCTTCGGGCACCTCCTTTCCCAGAAGAACTTACCCTCCATCTTGGTTTTTAAGGTTTTCAAATTGACCTAGGTTTAAACCAATCAACGATCGACTCGCTAAACCAATCAGCGACGCGACGATGTCATCTCAATACAGATTTACATTATAAGCGTATGTCATCTTTGAACCCTGGGGTTTCTCCCCCTCTTCTAAGCATGGAAATTATTTTTCCTTATTTTGACCAGCTTTGATTTGAAAACACTGTTGTACATAAAGTAATTGATGAAATATGACATGAGCAAACTGGGGATGGGCTTATTAACGTGTCAAACTGGAGATGTGCTGATTAAAGTGTCAAGTGTCAATCTATTAATTCAAATACATGATCGCATAGATTGGTTATTTCCTGGTTTAATCAGAAAATTCTCCTTTGTAAAAAACAGCATAGAACTGATGGTAACCATATTATTTGTACAAGCTTGCAGGAAGTTTCACCAGCTATTATTTTTGATAAGATACTTTATATAGTTTACTCATCAATTTCATAGCATTATTGAATGACTGGTGCAATATAAGTCCATCTACAGCTATAGCTTGTTTAATATCTAGTTTTCTTTCAGAGATAGAGTTGATGCCATGGCACCCGCAATGTACTAACTATTCATGTATATTATGGTGTTAATTTAGAGTGTTAATTATAAGGGTGAGAATGTACATATAATTTACACTCCCTGTACACTCCCCTCCAAAAGTTTGGTAACAACTGCCACATTGGACCATGTATCTTTAAGTCGAAATGCTTTTAGTTTAGCCTCCAGAAAATACATTTGTTAATATGAAAGCCTGTTTATGAAAGATATTTTCAACTTGATGTAATTGAGGATTTAATTTAAAAAAAGGTATTTTAACATGTTATACCTTGGGTATTCAGTGTTTCCAAACTGTTTGAGGGGGTGTACATTAAATTGGTTTCAGGTAGGCTTGCATTGAGAAATATTAATTTCTGTATTTCATCATTCAGAATATGTTATCATGGCATTTATACAAGTACTATACTGTAGAGGTTACCCTCATAAATGAACAATAATTAATATGATAGCAGAAAACATAGCTGAAAACCATCAATTTACTGATATGTGAAGTAAGATCAAAAGATGTAAAACAAACATTTTGAATACCATTCTGTCAATTTCAACAAAATATTTGATCTAACATGTTCCATGCAATCAAGCAGATACATTATGTTTCTATTTATATATTGCTGAAGGTTTTTGAACTCCTAATTTCTAAAGAGAAAGCCCCATCATGCTTTGTTAATGGAATTCTCTACTTTTGATGATCTTTACAATGGTGCACAACACCAAGATCTGAAATATTTTTATAATATATATCATCTATCAAATAATATTCATTTTTAAACTTGTGTATTGTTTTTTTGGCCCAACCTGTATATATATGACCATAGAGGGGAGTGCTTATATACAGTATAGTGGACACCCTGTAATAATATAACATATTAGATAATATGATCAAATTAAAAATGTGTCATGTGCTAATTAGCACATATCATATGTACCATTATTATAGTATATTATAGTGTTATATTTCACCTCACTGTGGCCAGAAGCTTCAGTTTGGACTTATTTCTGAAAGCCATGGCCTTCTACAATATTACATATAAGATATAGTGTGCAAACCTATAGTGTGCAAACCTAACATATATCTCACCCACGCAGTTATAGAATAACATACAATTGCTACTACTCCAATATCTCATGTTGTTTATCTATCATTTTACATTGTATATATTATTAAAACATGCCATATGTTCAAAGCCTTCATTGAGATGATATCATTTATTAACGCAGGTCCGCATGATGAGAATTTTGATATCATTTTCCTATTATATATATTAATCATGGTGGCGAACAGTGAGCCGTTACACAGCTTATGTGACAGCTACTTAAAGGCAGAATCAGATCTATGGGGGTGACAAAATTACAAGCAACATGTTCAATTGACCTACCAATCTGTTCCTTACAATCTCAAATAAAATACAATATCTCCCAAAAGATCTTCGATATATAAAAAATTGGTGAAGTTATAATGGATTCAAGGTGCAAAAATGGGTGAAAAATGTTTAAATTCTCCCAAATAATAAGAATGGTAACCATTCTTATAGAAAAATAACACATTATTGTAAAAATCTTTAGTTTTCCTGAAATAAAGTGTGCACTTTGGGGATTTTTAGAAAATAGACATGAAAAGGAATGACATAAGCCAGAAATATTTTAAAACTGAAACAATTTTTTGTTAGGCTGCTCGCTATCTCCGATTCTCTCTTTAAGGGGTGGGTGGTTGTTCTCAGTAGTTTCTTCTTCAGTTCTCATTTAGGAGTCCTTGGGATATACATGTACCATGATGCTAAGCCTCAGCAAACTATGTTCCATAGTTATTGATTTTCTATTTTGGAAGTTATAAAAAGATAATAAACTCTAAGCCCAGTGTCATTAAAATCTCATCAATTGACCATTTGACATGGAAAGTTTAAAAAGATTATTACACAGGCTGGAGATTGCCAGCTGCTTTAAAACTTGGCCAATCTTTATTACAGTTATGTCATTTTGATAAATGGAACCGTGAAATTGCAGAAAGCCTCTTGTTTTAGTAAAAGTGTCTTGATTAGCAATTTTCATACAGGGAATTGAATATGTTTAATAATATAAACCATTGCCCAGTCATTTGGTATTAAGTTTAACTAAAATGTTTCTTCAATAACGTAAAAGTTTACAATTGCATCCTCATCTTACAAAAACATGAATGCATGCACATGTACATCAAAAGGAAACAAATTCAAACAATTAGTCTTATGTTTCAGATTTACACAAAAATATAGATAATATCTTCTTGACTTAAATCTTATCTTTTCTGTGAAAATCAGTAAAATCAAAATATGGGCTTCAACTAGTTTGAGTTTATTTTCTTAATTTTGAGTTGTACTTTACAAACAAGATCCTTTAAGAATATGACTGTTGCTAAAGTTTAGGTTTAAGGTTTATGGCTAGGTTTATTAAAAAGTGAATTATATCTGTTAATGTAAATAAGGGCATAACTTGGAAAAGGCATCCTACACAATTGTTGACTCTTTTTCTTGATGTAATGTAATGAAATTCCCATGGTTCAAGGATGGGCCTGATGTAATTTAGGTTCGATTAAATGTTTTACATCCATTAGAAGGGGATAACTTCAAACACATATACCATTATCAAAGACTCTTGGCAAGGGCTATCTATGGGCCTTAGTGTAATCTACATTCAAGAATATCATGCCATAAATCACCCACAAATCATTTAGTCCTGTGCTTATATCCTTTGATAGTATAGTCAGATACCGGGATATGGATTTTATCATATTTTCTAAAAAATAGTACCATATTTTACCATATTTTCTAAAAGAAAGCAATATTACTGAACAAAATACTTCTGTTCAGCAGTACTGACTCTCACCTTAAAATTATGTTATTGTGTAGATGTAGATTGCAATTGATATGCCCTCTGTGACCCTTCCCCCATTTCTGCATTAAGTGAAAGTAATGCAATATTGTCAGCAACTAATAACCAAATTGAATATCTCAATAAAAAAATATATCTAGTTTCTTCTTGGAATTGTACTTTGTGCAATATCTTTTTCTTTGAATTTCATAGGCATGACAGACTACAGGGGAGGTCACGTCCATAGGGAAAGGATGAGAATCGATATGGTGAACTTTTTGAACACACGTTTCTCTTATGTCAGTCATCAAAACATTCTGAAAATTTTACACATTGTCAATCTAATGGTCATCTTTTGAATGGTAACAATATACAGTAATCTGAAATAGATACATGTATATACTTTTCTCTATATTGTTTTGGGGATTTTTGTTTTAATTTTTTGAATACTTTTTGTTAAATCAACCAAAATTTCCTCTGTATAACTATAATATTGAGAGGTCTAAGAAAATGTTGTATATTCTATTTTGTTCCAACAAGTTTTGGAAAGATATTTTATTTCATTCTCAAGAATTGGTAAAAAGGAACAAAAATCAATTGCACTAAAAAACAAAGAATTTTAACAAAAAGAGTTATGTAAAATATATATAAATAATTTTCACATTAGATTGCTGTCAATTAGTCAAAATTGCATAAAGGACTGTGTTTTTTACAGAACATTCTCAATAATTGGTTTAAGAGAAAAACATTGTTGAATTCAGTTCACCACATCGATACCAATCCTTTACAGTAACCAAGGGAGACCCCTTAATAGTGAACACCTTTTTTTGTAAACTCACTTTCTTGAAGGATACTGCATTGATTTAAAAACACCATGTGTAGTGAACACCTAATAAGTAAACACATTTTCTGTTTTCAAAGGGATTGATTATAAACAAGATATTAGTGAATAACAACAAATGGTTAGTTGTATTAATTAGTTATTGTTTCTGTCTTGCAGACTATGTACAGGTTGGTCTAGTAATTATGATGCATATTTGTACTTTGCAAAGTTATTGTTTCTGTCTTGCAGGCTATCTACAGGTTGGTCTAGTAAGTATGATGCATATTTGTACTTTGCAAAGTTATTGTTTCTGTCTTGCAGGCTATCTACAGGTTGGTCTAGTAAGTATGATGCATATTTGTATGTTGTTTGTTGCATATTTGTGCATTTTTTAAAGTAAAATATTAATTAGTTATTGTCACATTTTCCAGGTTACCTACTGGTGGGTCTAGTCATGATGATGCTTCTCCTCACAACAATATACGATATTCCTGAACTCAATCTTGGTCTTCATTTCTACATGAAGAAAGACGAGGTTGATGAGGAGAAGGTGCATTTAAGATCAGGAGAGGAGCCGGCGTGTAAATATACAGAGCAAATAAACAAATCTTATCAGGGAGATTCTGTCACAACACCGGACTCACCAAAAGTGCAATCAAAAGATTAAAGATGGCGTGCATGGTGAAATCTAGCAAGGATGCGATGGACAGCGTGTGTTAAGTTTTGTTATACAGTTTTTATGTCACCACCACATCTGGTGACATATTGTTCTAGTCTCCAACTTTTTTGTAGACAGTGTTTGGCAGTTGATGTTTGGTATTCTGCATCCTTAATGGCAGGTGGTGACATTTTGCATGTTAAAAATGCCCCGTTAGTTTTGTCATGTATGTGATTATTTATTCGATAATTTTTGAGTATGAATACAACTAGTTAAACAGAGTGTATTTGTTGTTTTAGAATTAGACTCCTTCACATACAGTGTACAAGAAAATTGTCAAAATTTTTTATCTGAAGGCATTTTGTTTGTTATTGATGCTGATCTATTTCATCATAGATGCCCCATGAATATCTTTCTCTGTAGGAAAATACATGGGTGATATCATGTAATAGTTTACACAAGCAAACCCATATATTTATTGGCATCCAATGTTAGGCATTGACATGTTCCTGAAGAAAGGCCTTTATAGCAATAGTCAGTTACTAGATATAGTATAAGGACTGGCTTAATATGTTTCATAACCAGGTTACACCATTGCTCATATAAATCGAATATTTACAAATTTACCATTGATTTCCTCAATTTTAATGCCCTCTCAAATTATAATGAATGGAGATCAGAATGGAGACCGGTCTATGAAAATAATTTTTCATAGACCGGTCAGGAAAAATAACAGTTTTCATTTCCCAGGAAATTAATTTCATGTCTTGCACACTTTCTTGCATTTAAAACTTTTATAATTTTTATAGAAATGACACTATACTGATTTTTGTGAAATACCCAATATTCCATATATTTGACCAACAGTGTAGATTGGTAGATGTTTTCTCTTGGAAGATGATATAATATCAGGAGTCTTCAGGACAGCTTGCTGCAATTCACATGGATTTTGATTTGATTTTCTTGCTGCATGTTCACCATGCAGGGTCACAAAAGGTCCCATTCCATTTAAAAAATGAAATCTATATATATTTGTGTATATACTGTATTTAAGATTTTGAAATTACTTATTGTTAGGCATATTTTTGTCAAAAATATTCATTTTAGAATGAAAAATGAAGTTGAGGCAAGATGAATACCTTGGGTGCTCATGTGTATTAATATAGGGTGTCCAAAAATAATACAAAGTTGAATCGTCTTCAATTTTATTGTATAGATTGGGCTAAATGGAGCAATGAATTAAGTGGTATACTTATATTATATCTATGTCTGATATTTAGTAAAATCATGTTTTCTGGCAAGGCATGCTCAAACTCCAATTTTTCAAGTATGCATTTCAGAAACTTGATTTCACTAAATTGCTATAGTTCATATGCAATATACCAAGTAAGCCATTGTTTCCTCTATTTAATGCTCTATATACACCTCCAAGATTCCACCATAATTGAGAAAGTTACTCCAAAATGATTGGTTACATTTTTTGGAGTCACCCTGTACTGTATGGATTGATGCATTTATTTATTCATAGAGAAACACAGTTTTGGAAATGCACATTCCTGTGTTGCGTTTGTACTTTGAGGCATTTATTTGTTGATGTAAGTAAAAAGTTCTATTTTATTGTAAAAGTGTGATAAAAAACATTATGTATTTCACATTTTTTGGGCAAGGTCAGCAGGTTGAAGGACTCAAATTATCTTTTACTAAATAATAGATTACATTGGGGCAAGGGGTTTTATGTCCATTACTTTAAATGACTTTACATTGAAATATCAATCAACTATTCATTGAAGTTATAAGGGGAGAGAAGGGGGGGGGGCAATCTGAAATAAAATTGGAACATCTTCGGTAACTCTTAAAAGTGTTCAACTTGGAGGTGTTCCTCCTATAAAGGTTCATTTAATATTAAGTTTTCACTATTTTGTATAACAGCCTATCACACATTCACTCTGTATAAGTACTCAAAGCATGTGGTTTATTTATTTGCTTCATGTTTTACTTCACTTTACTTACTAAGTTGTTCAGTTAATTTTAGCATTTCATTTATCATAGTAAATCTTGTACTAATTCCTGCAATTTAGTAATATGAAGTAAACAACACACAATTCATTTTAAGAGTACTCTCAAGAAAACATTTTGTTATTTTGAAAGTGAATACAATTTGAGTCGGTTTTGCTGTACATTGAACTGTCATGCAATACTGTTGATTATTGCATGGCTACACTGCTTTAATAGTACAATAACGTCATTTCTGCGGGCAATATAGTGAAATATTGGACCGATGATGGTATTGTCAAGGTGGTAATTATCACGAGTATGTGTAACATGAGTACGATACTGTAATGCAACTAATTGCTTCTGAGGCCACGTTGTATGTTACAATAGTCATTCTTATTACACAGCATTTGCTAATGCTAATCAGCGATTGGTTTCTTAAAAAGAATCCAAGTTGGAATGACCACCATGAAGTCTGTGACCACGATGTGAAGTCTGTGACCACTATGTGAAGTCTGTGACCACCATGAAGTCTGTGACCACGATGTGAAGTCTGTGACCACTATGTGAAGTCTGTGACCACTATGTGAAGTCTGTGACCACTATGTGAAGTCTGTGACCACTATGTGAAGTCTGTGACCACTATGTGAAGTCTGTGACCACTATGTGAAGTCTGTGACCACTATGTGAAGTCTGTGACCACTATGTGAAGTCTGTGACCACTATGTGAAGTGTTATGTAATAATTATATGAATTTGAAGTCAGGTACTAGTATTGGATGAACTCAATAAAGATTGTAGTATTATACATAATATTTATATGCTTGTTATTTCTTGTATGATGTGGTCTTGCATTTGCCAATTATATTGACAACAGTTGATTTTAAAGCCTATTTTCCCTTTCCGTGATGTTTACAGGGCCATGTAAATCTCATTCTGATACACATATCATCTTTCTATTTCACCTGAAACATCTCAGGGCTGAGAAGAATTAAAATGTCATGGTTTATCATGATGTGAAAATCTAGCTTTGTAGTACTTTATTTATTTATATGTAATAGAAGTTACACTAAAACAAGTATTCTGAATCCATGGTCCAATCGAGACTATTTCAAAACTTGTGGTTGCAGTTTAACCTCATGTAAAGAATAATTTGCATTTGTGTTTGAACTTGATCTTCATTTCTCTTCAAAATTGTAAAATAACAAAAAAGCATTGATATGACAAAATGTAACCACCTACCAGTAGTTGAATTTAAAAAGTGTTACAGACACCAAACATTGACACTAAATGCCAGACACAAAAAGTAACTGTAACAATGCCAAAATTTCATTAAATGGTTGCATTTTAAAAAGTATAACCATTTGTTACAGGTGCTAAACACCAAATGTGTCACAAAAATGGTGGCTGTAACCATATGCCACCACTTCTCGGTGGTGACATAAAATCATTACGGGTGAGAAATGTCACCCATACCCGAGCTGCTACCTTAATCAGGGTAAGTGGTCATAATGGTCCAATGTAAATGAAATTGCTTGTAAATATTGAAAGAACACAAGATTCGCCCACACTATGGCCTGGATTTTAAGCAATATTGACCAAATGCGTTACACTTTACTTAAGCAAACCTGAAAGCTGCAATATTTCATTACTTCTAAATAACATTACTAAGCTTACAAATCCTATTTTATGACCAGATTTAGACGCAACCTTGAAGTTCAGATGTTGACACGTTTCTTTCATTTCATAGTGTAGCAGGTAGTTTTTCATTTATTTATATCCACTCTACTAACACGTGGTAACTCACTGGGGCGTATCCAAAACCAAAACGCCCCGCAAAACCGTTAATTTCTGTGAAGGTTTTAATGGAACAAGTTTGAAGAAAAACGGTGTAGTGTGACACTCACAATCATTTGTTTTCCAAAGACAGGGTAGATTTGAAATTCTAATTAACGCTTTTGCGGGGCGTTTTGGTTTCGATACGCCCCGGTGAGTGAGTACCGCGTGACTAAACTGTGAACTTACCTGTGTATGGCATAATCATTTATTTATCCATAAAATGAAGACCATGAATATTTCTTTTGTGGTTGAAGATAATTTTATTTATCATCGTTTTAATTTTATTTTCGTTTATTTATATCCTCTCTACTAGTAGCCTATAAATGGCATAAATATTTATTTGTCCCTCAAGTGAAGACAATGAAGATTTCTATCATGGATAAAGATCTTATAGGCTATACACATTTTCTGCACCAAAGATAAATCAAAGAAATGAGGTGTTTCTCCATCCAAAGTGTTTATTATGAATAATATAAAACTTGCTTTTGACACCTTACCAGGAAGGCTTAATTAAAATTGGCATTTTATCACCTGACACCACATGTTTACTGGTGACATTTAAATGGAGTCAATCTAGGGCCATGGGGAGAAATGTTTCTTGATAATAAACAAGGATTATCCTTGAATACCCTGAGGTCTTTGACCAATACATCATCCTACTACCCTCTGACTTTAAGATTGTCAATAATTTGACACACTGACATCCAACCAATCAGATAACACCTCAGATTCACATCATCTGTTTACTTACAAAAACTTGCCATGGCAACTGAGCAACAATAAGATCTGATTAGCTATGCGAGTTCTTATTAGATAATGTAGAGGGAGATGAAGTTGATCCCTTTTGCAAAGGGTGTTATATATACCTAGATTGCCAATTCATCACTCTGGAAAAGACATGCCCTGGTGACCTAATAAAGGGATATCACGATTAACTACAATGGAAAGTAATCATGCCCTGTATGAACATGTGTATAGGTGTGACAACCTATAACAATGGCTCAAACAATACAATCAGAACTTGGAAATTAGTAAAAATAGATTTCTATGAATTATAGGGGCATAGCCAGGATCTCAAATTTGGTGAGGCAAATTTGAGGCAAAGGAGAAATAACACTATCAAAACGGTTTATTTTCACAATGTCAATTGAAAAAAAAATGTCTGAATTAACTATTCCTATAAAATGACAAGGCAGTTGCCTGGCCTGCCTCATGCCTGGCTACACCAATGGAATATCTCAAATTCCACTGGGATGCGAACATATGGTCAGTCAGATTCTGCTTTAAGCATAACGATCATTAAATGTGAGAAACCATAACAGTTTTTATGTC